GGGGGGGGGGGGGGGGACATTTGAACAACTAGACCTGAGAAAATCAATTTCGGCAATAGGAAACATAAATCAGAGCTTGACGGCTTGATAGTTGATAATGAAAATTTCGACGTTTCGAGCGAGGGCCCTTCGTCAGGTCGGTAAGTACAGTACTGAAACAAAATTGGGAAATATTGAAATGCTACTTTATGCTAGCTAGCATGCACAAATCGCAAGACCCTCTGACGGTTTGCAATTAGCTCCAATCACTTGCAGGGAACTCGGTTACCTCATGGACGCCATCCAGGCTGGAAAGAATTCGGAGCGGGGAAATGAACACCCTATTTACCGATTCGAAAACCATCTGCTACAATTTTTTACGCATTACCAAGCTAATAAACATTTTTTAGCAAAGCTGTTATTTAGAGCAAAGTGAAAGAGTTTAAAACGAGGTTATTCAGTCTCCTTTGCTAAATCTAGCGTAAACGTCGGTATTTCTATAAGGTGGCAGTGATTACCTCGATTGAAATTGATTTCGGGAGAAAAAAGAATGACAACCATTCTTCGAATCGATGTGAATTCTTCGGACGAGATGCGTGTAGTATAGCTTGCGAGCACTAGACTCTGCAGACTCCCACCTCCCCAGAGCCCCTTCTCGCAAGCTAGTGTCATGTATACAGTAAATATCGCTACTGTTTCGCCACTGGACTTGTTACAAAAAAACAGGGCAATGCAATTATTTCAGGCACACTTACGCTTTAGGTCCTTCATGCTTTGCTATCTTTACAGTACAATCCCAAGAACTTTTATATTTATGTGCTTCCAAGCCCTTAAAATGTAAATAAAGAAATAATAGTGAGTAGTATATAGTGACGGACACCAATGGCACGTCTCGAATATATCCATTAATTAGACAAATATTCGCTGGATGGAGATATACAGTATCATAACATGTTAACCAACGTGTTTTATTATGTGTTATATACTGTATGTTTATATTTCTTTTCGTTCACGGTATAGTTTACAGGTACAAGAAATATTATTACTAACAGCTAATGTCTTCCGCATATAAGGCCAGCCCCCACGTATATAAAGGATCGACCATTTAACTTTTGAGGAGGGGGGTGATTTTGAAAAAAATTTCCTGCAAGGCTACAGTATTCTGAACAAAAAAAAATACCTGCACTAACAAACTGGGGGAAAAAATATCCTGCCCCAGTATTTGGTGGGGGAAAAAATGTTGCAAAACAGCATGCATGGTTGCAGGGATCGATTTGACCAGTCCCAGAAGATCAGCTGGTTTGATTTTCAGGGACTAGTGTAAGGTTAATTTCTTGAAAACTGCTCAAAATGCTGGAAATAACTTATCTGAGCTTCAAGAAATCCAAAATTTTCTGGGGGCATGCCCCCAGACCCCTCTAGAGGCTCGCAGCTTCGGTTGTCGACTCGGTTGTCTCAGAATCCTAGTTATAGCCTGATTTGCTGCCCTATGACATATACTTATTAGTTAAACCATGCATATATATGCTGGTAGCTGCAGTGATACAGGCCGATACAGACTTGCCGACTGGAACTTCTCCAGGTAACCCCGCTAAATATGTCCTCTCTCCAGTTACACATCCTTAAAAGAGGCCCTGAACCAAATGTTATACCTCATAGCAATATGTATTATTAAAAGCAATGAAAGAAAGCTAGAAAACTCAACGTTAACTATAATTAAAGAATCTAAATAGTATATAAGCTATTGAGAAAAAAAATGTTGCGAAAGAGAGTGGAAAAAAAATCGTACATGGTGATGGGATAGGAAAAAAATATCTTGCACATAACGGTCCCAGAAAAAAAATTCCCTGCCAGCAGTAAATCACCCCCCCCCCCCT